TGACTAAAGAACCTATAGATGAAGCCCAACAAATCCTTATCTTTACGGACTTTCTGAAATTGATCATGTCGAGCTTAAAAAAAAGATGAACATCATCTTAGGACATCTAGTTTCTTACATTCTGGAGAAGAAATATAATTTGGTTCATCTTGATCAATTGTTTGAATAACCGCTCTACTACAACAACGGATTATTTAGAGCAAACTTCAATAAAGATGAACCAAGTAAAATACATGTCATTAGTGATATTGAGCAAGAACATGAAGCTGCACCTGCACCTGCTAATAAACCAAATTATCAGGATTTGGTTCAAAGAATTGATCGTTTAGAGACTCACTTTGATCAAAGGTTTGATCAAATTGAAGCTCATATGCAATAACAGGATGTATAATATGCTCAAGACATGGGGTTTATGAGAGAACAAATAAATGATATTAGTACCAACATGCTTATGATGAGTACTTATTTTAACATCTTTGGTGCTGCTTATCCTCATCCTCCTCCAGATTAGGGTCCTTCTAAGTGACACTCGTACTAGATTTTATGTGTTTCTTTAGTTGTTATTTTCATTTTTGTGGGTTAGGAAAATGTGTTATACTTTATTTTCCTTAGATATTTTATTTTTAATTCTTATGATGTATTGATATCATATTCTTAGATTGTAATATCTTTCATTTTGATATCAATATAAGTTATCATGTTTTGACTTTAATCTTATTTTTAAAATATGTGTTAGTCTATATGACAATCGTTATAATTTTTTATCTTAAAAGTGTTATACTTTGAAAAACAAGTTAAAATTAAATTTATTAGAAAATATAATTTTTCTAAATTTAAGTAATGCTTATAACTTGATGTAATTAAGATTGTCAATTTCATGTCTCTAATTTAGACTACATTAATATCTAATATTATTATTACAACTGTGATGTTTTCTTATTTTGTATTTCACTTATCAATAAATATTTATACACTTAAAAAATTTTGAAAATATTTATTATTGATTTTGGAAAGATCAAAATTACTCTTGAAAAATGTACAAATATATAAAAATCAAAAAGAATGCGCAATTGTTCGCAAGTTGAAAAAGAGGCACAAAATAAGCCCATAAGTAAAAAGATGCACAAAAATGTGCCACAAATTTGAAAAAAATGCGCAAAGCGCCACCACATATGGTAGTTATTTCTTTACATTATCTTTTAATCTCTTAATTCAAATTATTCTTCTGTACATTTATATTCCGTATTGAAATTTGAAATATACAAATTTTTTATTCATCCTTTTTGCAATGATTTTCTCTATCTTAGTGTCTAAATCGACTCATGTTTTTTATAAATACTTTTTATTATCTATGTTATATCTCTTCTTAAATTCTATGAATTACTATGATTTGCCTAATATTTTGATTTTATTTGTAAAACTTATTTCAATCACTTTGAATGTTCAATTATCAAATGATTTTCATATGACTGCTTACATTTCAAGTCTTTTTCTTCTTCACTTTTTATTGTTGTCAAAAATGAGGAGAAATTATTTGTTCTATCATATATGTGTTTATTTTATTTTGTATTTGTTCTACCATATCGTATGTGTGTTTGTTTTGTTTTATATTTGTTCTATCATACCATATGTGTGTTTATTTTATTTTGTATCTCTAAAAATTTTGAAAACAAAAAATTATGATTCAAATGCCTCCTTATTTTTCACGTGTTCATCATTTCAGGAGGAGTTTAGGAGATTCTTAGAATTTGAAATTATACAAATAATAATTGTTTTGCCATCATAAAAAAGGGGGAGATTATTAAGAGATTTGCTATTTATATGTTTTACATTCTTGCAACTTGTATAGTTTTAATGATTCTAAATATTATTGTTTTATGTATTGATATCTTTTAACACTTTTTGGAAGATTTATTTTTGGTCTTGAGTGAACTAACATTTCAGGAAAATCAAATTTAGCATGAGAGATTTTGTGAATTGAAGCTTGTACTTTTCTTTGAATTAAGTTTGAGAGTGAGTGATTATAATTGAGTGAATAAACACATACACACTTAAGGAGATCTTTAAAAATTTATACTGATCATACGGGACGGACATAGTTCGTACGGGACGATCAAGTCAGTTATCTCCTCTAAAGAGCAATGGAACGAACAAGAGTTGAAGAAAATTTTTCTAAGTCATGATCGTTCAGGACGAATGTTTAATCATCCCAGGATGAAATGTTTTCTAGAAAATTTTTGTTCAGATGAAATTCATATTCGTGCTAGGACGAAATGCTCTCTGGAAAATTTTCATCCAGACGAACTCAAATTTGTCCCAGGTTGAAATGTCCTATGGAAAATTTTCATTCAGACGAAATTCATATTCGTGCCAGGACGAAATGCTCTCTAGAAAATTTTCATCCAAACGAACGCAAATTCGTCCCAGGACGAATTATTCTCTATAAAAATTTCATCCAGACGAACTCATATTCTTCCCAGGATGAAGTGAACCGACTCTTCAAATTTTGGCGACGTCCTGCAATTTTTTGGGAACCGACCTATGGTATAACTATTTGTATAGGACGAACCTAGTTCGTACAGGATGATGCTTGGGTACGATTTTAATTCGTACTAATATACATTTGGTTCGTTTCCACACATTTAAGTAAAATCGTCCAAGACGATCCACGATCGTACGGGACGATCAACTTCGTGTTGATTTGAAAATTTATAGTTTTTGGATGATTTTTCTTATCTTTCATATAAATAGTCCAATTTAGACTATCACTTAATCTTTTTTCCTACTGATCTTCGTGCCTATTGAAAGAAGAGTCATGGAGAGAGTGTGATAGAGTGTTCGAAGGAGGATTCTTACTACTGGAGCGTGAAGGCTTCACTTGGTGTTCAAATTTAAGAATCTTTACTTTTGATTTGTGTTTACTTCACTCTTTTTTCTCTTCATTATAGATTTATTATGAAGAAGATTTGTCAAGGAGATCCGGTTCTATGCCGACACTTGGAGAGTGTGAACAGTCGAAGGGTTCTCTGCCCGCATTAGGAGAGTGTGAAAGTACGAAGGGTTCTCTGCCCACACTAGGAGAGTGTTAAAGGACGAAGGGTTCTCTGCCTACACTGGGAGAATGTGAAAGAATGGACAGTTCTCTGCTAACACTAGGAAGAGTGTAAAAGGATTACGGTTCTCTGTCGCACCAGGTAGTGGTGGAAGAGAGTTTTGTAAAGGCTTCTCCGCCTTACTGTGGGTGCAAAAGGAGAGTCATTAGTGGTATTAGTGCAATACTCGGAGGGTGCCTCCAGGGAGTGGATGTAGGTCAAATTTGACCGAACCACTATAAATCTCGTGTCTTTTATTTTTCCGTTGCTTTTTATTTTTCTATTTTACTGTTTCAAAATTGTGGTTGAAAAACGTTTTCTATAAAATTCACTAAAATTAATTTTCTTGATTTTAAATTTTAAAAGAGGGATTAAATTTTAATTACCAATTCACCCCCTCCCCATCTTGGTTAGCCGCTGGGACATAAGCTTAGGTTTAATAACCTAATTCATATTGAACAAGTTTCAATGCAAGCAACCTAACCAACAAGTGCAAAGAGTTTTTTCTGAAATGCATCCAAATCAGCCAAAATTCAGTCCCCAACCTCTTATTTTGCAACAAAATTGCAGAATCTCCTCTTCTAATAACCTTCATATCACCAATAAAAGCTCTCCCAAGATGATCAATGACTTGATCTCTTTTTTCACGATTTAGAAAACCTTCCATGCACCCCATATGGAGCCTGTCCACTCTCTTGTTCATCAAATTACAAGCAAGCAAAGTAAGAAAGATCCTATCTGATTTCTCAACTTGGTGTGGTGAAGAAAATTCAAAAAGAGAAGGGCCTTGGTGTCTAGTAATTACAAGTAGAACCAGGAAACAAAAGAAGAAGACTTCCAATGAAGGTATTGGAGAGAAGAAGGCTTACTCCCCTTCCTTTGTTGCACCTCACACAAATTGGGATTTTGGTGAATCATCCAACAAACAAGACCTACAATGGACTGTGATTTTCCCATGATTCATTTGAAGTTTCCTACTGCGTTATTTCTCCAAAGCCAAACCAAGCACCAATCAAGAAAAGCTAGTCTCTAAGACTCATTTTACTAAGGAGCTTCAACATTTGGGAACTATTGCAAATCAACCAAGGAAGCAAAAGAAGGATGGTAAGAGTGGCAGGGACAATTGCTGCTCAGCTTATTAATGTTGATGTTCTCCATTGGGTCTTGTAGTGAGCATCTCAGCCTAACAAAATTGTTGTTGGAGCAATAGGATACTTTCAAACCCCATTGGGTTGTTTCAAAACCTCCTAAGGTATCTACCCCCTTTCTAATACCGTGAAACCTATATTAATTGCAGGTTAGATAGGAAAGTTAAGAAGAGTGATACAAGTAAAGCGAAGTATTTCTATTCATCTCATTGAAGACTACAGCGGCTTTATACAGTGTTTATAAGTAATAGAAAATAGATGAGTTTGTATCAGTGGTTTTGAAGTGGATGGTGAGTGGCTCAGATTGTTTTGTAACCGAATGACAACCTTGCTCTGCTCCACTTCTTTTGAATTATGCTCCACTAGAGCAATGCCATATGAGTTGAGTTAAAAAAACCCTAACTAGGTTGCTTGGTACTTGCTACAAACACCATTGTGGCCTCACATCGACTACAAAATATCAATTTTTGGTTTCTTTTTTTATTAAATATATAATGCATGAAAAATTATAGTTTGTAATGAGTTTCCCTCTCTTTTATTTTATTTTGCCAAGAAAAATTTTTTTTAGAGATTTCATAACATATTGTAATCATTATATACTTTTTATCTTAATTTTAAAGTAATGCACATAATTTCCCAAAAAAAAAAATAATGCACATGTACTAGAAAGCAAACAAACAATCTCTGTCACATCCAACATTAGAGCACCTAATCAACTCTTATTAATTTCCTAAAAAAACACTTTATTAATCATTAAAAAAAACTGTCAACGGCGTAAGAAGGCCCCACCTCCAGGGCGGAAATCCGCTGTTTCGTGCATAGTGTTCCGTACCTGACCGTTTTGTCTCTCGGGTTCGTTCTTGGTGGGGTCCAGGCAGCTTTCTCCACCAACAAACAGTGACACGTAGCATCTAGGCAGCCAACTGTCACCATTTAGCAGTGTCATACACTACGTGGCATCGTCTGAGTCGTGTTCACCATTCCACTAACCCAATACCAACCAAAAGTCTTCCGCTCCGTTAAACAAGTCTAACCGAATCTCCTACCGTCCATATCAGCCAACTCATATATCGGACGGCCATTCTAACCCTGATCCCTCATGCTGACAGCGTGACCTCACCGCCTTTTCTCTCCCGCCACGCCTCCATCACCGTCGGCCGCGCTGCCTTCCCACTTCTCTACCGCTTATTTATTAGTTAAAAAGTCCAAACTTTTGGCTACTCACATCTTCTTTTTCCTCCTTGGTACCAGTCAATTGCCTCCTGAGAGATTACTGTTCCAATTACCTATTCTCCATGACTCAACCACCGCCGCCTCCTCCGCCGCCGCAGCAGAAGCTGCTAGAGTACCGGAAGCCACTTCTCCTAGGCCGCTACGAGGTCGGAAAGCTTCTTGGCCAAGGAAACTTCGCTAAGGTCTACCTCGCCCGCAACGTACGCTCCGGCGAGAGTGTCGCCATTAAAGTGATCGACAAGGAGAAGATCCTTAAAGGTGGCCTCGTCGCACACATCAAACGCGAAATCGCGATTCTCAGCCGTGTTCGCCATCCCAACATCGTCCAGCTCTTCGAAGTCATGGCCACCAAAGCGAAGATCTACTTCGTCATGGAATACGTTCGCGGCGGCGAGCTCTTTAACAAAGTCGCCAAAGGCCGTCTCCGCGAGGACGTAACGAGGAAGTATTTCCAGCAGCTTATTTCGGCTGTTGCGTTTTGCCACGCCCGTGGCGTCTACCACCGGGATCTCAAGCCGGAGAATCTCCTCCTTGACGAGAACGGCGATCTCAAAGTCTCCGACTTTGGGCTCAGTGCAGTGTCAGATCAGAGTCGCAAAGACGGTCTTTTTCACACCTTTTGCGGCACGCCGGCTTACGTCGCGCCGGAAGTTCTTGCGCAGAAGGGCTACGATGCTGCAAAGGTAGATATTTGGTCCTGCGGAGTAATCCTCTTCGTTCTCATGGCGGGATATCTCCCCTTTCACGACCAAAACATTATGCTAATGTATCGCAAAATCTACAAAGGGGAGTTCCGGTGCCCTAGATGGTTTTCACCCGAACTCACCCGCCTTCTCTTCCGCCTACTCGACATAAACCCTAGCACTCGAATCACCATTCCTGAAATCATGGAGAATCGCTGGTTCAAGAAAGGGTTCCGCCATGTCCGGTTCTATTTCGAAAACGATCGATTCTACAGCCTCGACGACATCGACAAACCACCGTCTCCGCCGCCGGACGAGCAGTCAGAATGCGAATCCGAATCCGAATCCGAATCCACCACTTCCTCGGTTTCTTCAAAAAGGAAAGGGCTGGGTTTGCCGAGGCCGGCGAGCCTCAACGCTTTTGATATAATCTCCTTCTCTCCAGGATTCGACCTTTCAGGGTTGTTCGACGAAACAGGGGAGGAGAAAAGATTCGTCTCCGGCGAGCCTGTAGCCAAGATTGTATCGAAATTAGAAGAAATTGCGAAGCTTTTGAGCTTTTCTATTAGAAAGAAGGATTACTTGGTTAACTTGGAGGGAAACAAGGAAGGGGAGAAGGGACCGTTGAAGGTTGCGGCGGAAATATTTGAGCTCACGCCGTCGCTTGTAGTGGTGGCGGTGAAGAAGAAATCCGGAGATCGAGGTGAGTACGAGGAGTTCTGTAAGAGCCAGCTAAAACCCTATTTTCTGAATTGTATGTACGACCACTCCACTGTTGGTTCTGACACTGAGTAGAAGAGATCAACAATAAAGCGAGAGGAAATTCTCTCCTCTTCTTCTCTACATTATTCACTGATCTGCGTTCTGCCAAACTCTTTCCTTATTATATATTGTAATGTTGAGCTACCGTGTATGTAATTGACTTCAGGATTCAAAATTTATGTTTGTGAAATATGTAAATAAGCGCTCCAAGCATTTCGCTGGAGATTAATGCAGTGCAAGGCCATTGAACTTGTTTTCCTGATCACTTTGTAGTTTATATAAGTTGTTCATTGTGAGCGGTTATCTTCCTTCTTCTCCCTTGCAAAGAAAAGATTTATTGAACAAACTAATAACTAAGTGGTGCATCTGTGGTGATTTTATTGCTTTAATCGATTTGTTTCTGGTGGTTGTCGGATTCTCTGAGATAAGGATGAGGAAGCTTCATTGAAAAATTTATAGTCTTAAACTGAAATGGCTATGGGATACATAGTTGAGTATATGATTTTAATGAAATTATTTATGTAGGTGAACATTATTCTCATTTTATAAAAATAAAAAATAAATTCAAAGAAATATAGAAAGTTTCTCTTTTATATTATGAAACATAAAAAACAAATATCCCATGCAATGCAAACAAATGAGATATTATGCAAACCTATTGGGTGGGCAAGATATTTGACGTGAGCCTCAAATTATAAGCCATATAATATTTTGTACGACATTGTTATAATGATGAGCATTTCTTTTTTAGTGTCATTGGACACAACATAAAGAACATATAAAAGACACTTATTGTAACCTATATAGCTAGTAATGGATGGGAGTAGTACATCAAATTATAATGACTATAATGAGCTTAAAATATATACATCATAAACCTAGGGATGCCTAAGGGTTCCTATTACATCGCCTCGTATATATATGTCTACAAGCTAAAATGCTACAAAGCCTCTTAGATCTTATGAGCTTGGTGTACATTAGGACTTTGCTGATCACAAATATTATTGGTTAAGTTAATCCACATGTTAGTCTTATTTGTAGGTCATTTTTGTACACTAACATTACAGGTAAAAGACACGAGGCAAAGTAATATAAAAGAAGAATAAATAGAGCTCAAAATCACAAAATAGACTATTAGTGTGTGTGTCATTTTTTTTTTCTTTTGGAGTCAGATGTATAGTATAGGTGTAAAATAGTTGAACAAGTAAGCACACACTCAAAAGTGAGAATAAAAATTAGAAATTAATTAAAATCACTTGATTTCTCTAAGAAATTATATTATATGATCTTGATAGTACTGTATTATAAATTATAATATTAATAAAAAAATAATGTGATAATAATTAAACAGAAAATAAGGAATTAAAGGATAAATAATCATACTGCATAATAGACATTTTACTAAATGATCATTTATTTTGGGTGATCTGAGCGGAGCGGAGAAGGCGATCTTGGCGGAAAAGGCGTTCTTGGTGATTTTGGCGGATCTTTGGCGTTCGATGGTTCATCGTCGGCCTGGTATGGCCGACGGAGTTCCTTGGTGCGACTTTGGCAGATTAAGTTTTCTATTTGCTAAAGGCAATTTGTGCAGAGATGCAATTTTGGTGAAGATTTGTCCGGCAAAGGTTCTTCTTTGGACCAATGATTTTGGTGAATTTTCTGATTTCATGTCGGTTTTTGCAAAGCTTTGCATGACGATTAATCACTGTCGGCTTGGTTTGGCTTTCGATTATGCGGGTTGTGTTTATTCTACTGGTAGTAGATTCTTGATTGATTTTGGTGAGACTACAAATCTGAAGGTGTTTTTGGAGGAGTTTTTTGGTTGGCTCGTCATTGCCTACAGTAATTCTTGGAACGAATTTTTCTCTTGGCTTAAATTTGTTATTATGTGTGGTAATTGGAGTTTGGGTTTGCTCTAATTTATGGCTTTTCTTGATTCCAGATTTGGTTTGATATTGTTCTTGGTGTGCGATAGTTTTATGTTTATGAGATTGTTGTTGTATGGGTGTTTGGATTGTAAAGGTGGATCTTTCTATTTAGAAGAATCGGTTGCATATGGATTCTTGAAGATTCTTGGAGATAATGCAGTCTTGTTGGTTATTTTGCTGCCTTCGATTGTGGACAAACTCAAATTTTCTTTTAATTTTAAGGAAACAGTTTTGTTTCGTGCGGATTTTGGTATGATTGATGCTGGTTATGCAGATATTTGGAAGGGTTTACTGGTAAAGCCGAAGTTATTGCAGTGATTGATATAGTGTTGTTTGATTCTTATATGGAAGTTTTTTTTGACACTCCTAGACGTATTGGAGATAGTTTTAGGTTGGAGCTTATCTAATCAAGGCTTAAGAATGTTACTTCTTTGTTCTATGAAGATCAAGTCTTGTTTGGTGAAGACTTGAAGAATTTGAATATTACTGGTTTTTTTATTGTCAGGGTGGTGATGATTATCATTTCGTATGGTTTTTGTAGTGTAGATGTCGTATCTTGGCCTCTTAATGTTATAGCCGTTGTTATTGCTTCGTCGACTTTGTTTTGTTCGTCTAAGGTGTTTGTTGTTGGACGCATTGGTGAAGACTTTAGGTGGGATCATATCCCAACTAAGCCAATGGATGCTACTGCTTTGATCTTTGAAGATCTTCGAATGATTATTGAAGACTGGAAGGGAATGGAGACTTTAGAGTTCCTGTCTGTCAGTGGGTTTACTACGTTGATGAGTTTGTTGGTTGGTGTCTGAAATGACGAGGTGGTTGTTTGGTCTTTGATTTTCAGTTAAACAATTTTGTGTTTTTGCATTATGAATTTAGAGTAATGGAAGTTAAGACTCTATCTTGTTGTCACTTTTTACTTGCTTGGAAACTCTGGGATATTAACCAACCTATTTTGGTTGTTTTAAAAATTTGGTGTCCCCAACACCCCAATTGGTTCAAATTGAGGATTAGTGGATCTTATTTCCACTGTCTTTTTTTATTTTGTAAATACACTTTTTCTATGTTTTATTTGCTTTTATTTAGGCCTTCCTTTCCCTTTGTTTGGAAATGGATGTTTTTTATTTTTATTTTTTTTTCACTTTTAGCTTGTAATTGTTTTTTCTTCATGCTTTAATGCAATTTGCATTTCCTCAAAAAAAAAATCATTTATTTCAAATAAAACCTGTTTTCTAAATTTTAAGTAAATTTAAATTTGAACTGGTCATACTGTACACACATGTTCATGTTGTACAAATATTTACCTATTTTGGTTCCATAAATCAATGAATAAAATCAAGAAAAAAAAAGTTGAATATTTGTATACTATGATCCATATCATATACTACGAACAAATAAAGAGTTTGTGTATATGATTCTCATTCATATAGGATGGTCCATTGATCCCTTGAAATGATCATATCTTGTACGATCATGATCATACAGTTTGATCAAATAAAGAAGGATTTTTGGGTTTTATTCAGATTGAACTAATTATAGTGTACTAAATAGTGTTCATACTATACGATCTAGTCATCAAAAATTGAAAAATTAGGTCCTTTAGGGCTTGAGAGAGAGAGAGAGAGAGAGAGAGAGAGAGAGAGAGAGAGAGAATTAGTTCAAGCAATTGCTATAAAGAGTCCTTTGCAAAGAGACGGAGTCTTTCTTGTGAGAGCTTATATAAACACTTGGGAGGTGATGGATAGATTGAGAGAAGGTTCCTTGGGGGAAGTCTGAGGAATTATGTGGGGTGATTCACATGATTGTTTCTCTATTCTACATCTTGTTCATTTGAGTTATTTATGTGAAGAGCTCTTGAAAAGGAGGTCTAAGAAATCTTTGTTGAAAGGCTTGAGTTTAACTGAGGAGGCAAGGGATAAGGCATCTCTGTCGTGATGGGAAATAGGCGCTTTTTAGAGAAAATAAGTGATGTACAAGTTTTTTCTCTGTCTATGAAAGGAGAAGGGTTTCATCACCTTGCTGGGAGTAAAACGAGTGGTCATGTGAAATTCCTAGGGTGGAGGATCTTGGAAAGTGGACATAGGCTAGTAGATTGAAACACTATAAAAATCACTACAGGAAAATCGTGTGTTACCAGTGGACAAAATTCGTCGGAAAAAGCTCAAAATCCGTCGAACATTAGTATTTCCGACGGGATTTTTTCGATGGTAAGATGCGCGTCGAAAAGTCATATTGGCGTAAAATAGGCCGGTGGAAATAGGAAATATTTCCGACGGAATTTTCCACCGGTATAATTTCTGGCGAACTATTTTGCGCCGAAAAAAAAAAAAAAGAAAACAAAAACTAAACAAAAGGTGGAAAAAAAATTCGTCCAAACCTGCAGCCCGCCCACCCCTGCCCCATGCGAACTCCCCAACCAATCTGCGGCCAGCCCGACCCGCTAAGAACGCCAACCCACCCAACCCACACGAGCAAGCCTGCGGGCCAGCTGACCTGCGCTGCAGCCCGCCTTTGGTGGGATATATTTTTTACTGCTTGTCATTATTTTTATTTCTTACATATTTTTATTATTTTTTGTTCTATTTTCGCAAATTGATACTTTAATTTAAAAACACAAAATATATTTTCAGTTATTAGAATATTTATTTTTTTCAATTAAAAATTATTGTGCTACTTTTTCTCTTGAAGTTATTTTTGAAAATAAAAAAGTAATAAAAATATATTTTCCTATCATCAAAAAGTTTTTTATGACTTCTGATATAACTAATCCCCCTGGCTTGGTTGTGCAAAATCACTTTCATAGCAAATCTTGAGGCTTGTATGGATTAGGAAAGGCTCAAGTATAAATCAATAACCTAAGGTCTGTGGGCCAAAAGGCTAAGTGCACTAATTGACCAGGCAATGGAATTTATCGCGGGTTTATAGTTGATTCAAATACAAGTTAGAGCTAAATTTATTTTTAACTAGTTTAAATATTAGAGTGATTAAGATTAGGTTCATAAGCTCTTAAAGTAGTTACATTTTAGAGTGTTGATTAATTTATGAATGTGTTGATTGATCTTAGAGTATAATGATCGATGACTAGATTTTCATGAGGTTAATTTTCCATGTTGAATGAACTTTAAGAAGTATTTACATTAACTGAATTGTAAAGTTTAATTAATTGGTTAGTTTTCAAAAGAGGAAAGAAAATCTAGAAATGATTATGCCCTCATGTTTTACCTTTTTTTTTATTTAATAGGGAAGCGCTTAACCCTCATGTTTTACTTAAATGCCTAAATAGTTCCCCCAAAAATCATAAATTTTAAAATTCATTTAAATTTTAAATTTATTGAAATAT